AATTTTAAACCACTCTTCCTGGAGCAAATTGAAGAGTTCTGACTCATCGCTTGGTAGAGGAATGTGCTTACGTATACAACACTCCAATTCATCCTATAAATGTTCAATGGGGTTAAGGTCCGGGCTATATGAGGGCCACAGAAGTTGTTGAATACCATTTTCATTAAACCAACGTTCAGTAAATTTGGAAGTGTGAATTTTAGCATTATCGTTTTGGAATACATAATTTTTTTGACTAACTACATTTATTAAATTGTTTAAATAGGGTACATAGCAAGTTTCAAAAATTTCTACATAATCTTTCGAATCTATCCTGCCATGAACCTGAACTAAAGGCCCAAGACCATATATGCTAAAACACCCCCAAACCATTACACCTAACCTTCCCGACCTAAATGTTGGAACAAAACATTCAACATCATATTTTTCTTTTGGTTTTCTCCAAGCATACTTACGACTATCTCCTCCAAACACCTCAAACCTAGATTTGTCACTCCAAATAATATTTTTCCACCTTTAATCCTAACCTATTTTCGCTCTTACCCAATCCAAATGAGCCACACAAGAGTTCTCATCTACAAATGGTTTTTTTAAACCAACCCGACCATAAAACCCTTCATTATGAAGGTGCCGTTGTATGGTTCATATGGATACTTCTACAGAGGTTGCTTTAACGAATTTGTTTGTCAAAACATTAAGTGTGACCTTTCTGTCCTTTTTTAAAATGCGAGTTAGGTGCTGAATACCACATTCAGTTACTTTAGGAGGTCGTCTAGAACGAGAAAAAGGTACAGTTTCTCCAGTCTTTTTGTAGTATGTAATAACATCATTGACGGTACTTTTTGCAAATTTTAGAGTCTTTGCGATTCTTATTTGCTTCACACTGTTTTTCCAAGCACCAATAATTTGGTTGCGTTGTTTACAGATAAGCTGTTTCCTTTGTTTTATAGTAAAAAAATAGACACACTAGTAGGTTCGAATAAAACCGTAAAAAAATTTTTTTTTGGGCCAGTATAGTAATTTTCAATAAAAAAAAAATTTTAAAAACAATGAGATCATATAGATAATCTTCACCGAAATTGAAAAATCCGGTGATTTATGTCAGAGGAGTGTACCTTATCATAGTACCTTATTATAATATCTTGATATATAGTATCTTAATATGTTTCTAAGATAATTTAAACCAAGAAAACAAAATGGAAGATAATTTTAACAAAGGAATTGATAAAATTCAAGTTGAAGAGGAAAACTCTATAGTTGCTACTGCAAAAGCAATCAGTGAACTTGCTAAAGCTTTAAATAAAGGTGGAAAAAATAAAAAGAATCTTATTAAAATAGAAGCTTTTAAAGGAGATAAAAACCAAGATCCTATAGAATAGTTTAATGAATTTGACTAAGCTACTAAAGCAAATTATTAAAGTAAAGAAAAGCAACTTGAATTGGCCAAAGCTTATATGAAGAAAATTGTTAAAGAATAGGTGAAAACTAAAAATGATGACCAACTCAAAACATATTAGGATAAAGAAGCAAAAGATACTAGTTTTAAAATCTTATTCAAAAAAGGATTTAATACTACTAGACAAAAAGCTTTACTGGATCTTTAATTTTTTAAAAATATTGTTACAATAAAGTTAACATAAATATAATTAATATAATAAATAGATAACAACTCTCTTTGTAGATCACTTTACCAAAATAGAAACAAAAAGAAAAAACTTTTCTGTGACGTTTTCTCAAAAACTTACTAAGTAAATTAATATTTGGCTCTTAAGTAAAGTTATCCAGCACCCCAAAAAGTACTTAAAGGAGGTGCAAATTTTGTTAAAAGACTTCACCACAACAATTTAGTAGCTATAAACACCTAAAACAGCAACAAAGCAGTTTTTCAATTCTCTCGTGAAAGTGGTCCTAAGGACTCCCTACTTTCAGATAAACAAAAACATACTACAAGTAGTGCCTTAAGCAAAAATAATCAAAAGCAACAAGTATTATACTTTATTAAGCCCCAAGAACTCAATAAAAACATGGCCTCTGGAAGCTCTTCTTCCTACTTTGGATTTTTTTCTAGAACTTCAAAGCTCATACAACCTAAAGAAACTCCTATCATCAGCTTACTGCTAGATTTTAGTGTAGAATACACAAAAAATTTTTTAAACATTACTATCAAAGACTAGTCCAAACTCATATTTTCTGTTAGCTTCTCTGTTTCTGAATATGCTAACACCTTTGTCTTCTTTGTCGATATTACTAAATCTGGAAAGATATCTAACTTGACCAACTACACATTACAATGGGTATGTAGACATGAAGATCTTATCCAATCAGTCCTGTTCGACCGCCAAACACCCGAAACCTACCCGTAATAGTGACCTTGCAACAATTACAGACCTATATGAAGCAAATATGAAACCATATTTAAAAGTTAAAAGTACAGAAAATCTAGCCTCAATTCTGTACAACTGTATTACAAACCTGGACTCAGACAATGAATCCAATAGAAGCAACAATGAACAAGTAGCACATACTGCTCCCATCACCAATTCTGGTCACCCCAAGATATAGCTGCAGGTTACACAAATACTAGCACAAACAACAACACTACAAACTTTGTATCAACTACAGACAGACCCCCAAACACCAATATAAATAACAGCTCTAGCATTAACAATGCCACAAAGATGTCGGTACCCAGGCCCAGCACACCCACCAACCAGATCACCCAGCCTGCACTCTCTGCATCAACTTTTAATTATACCCTTGCTGCCACCAAGACCAACCCTAATACTAATCATAAAAGACCCAGAAACTTATCCAATATATCTCCACTAGCTATAACTTCAAACAAAGCCTTCAAAGCCCTATCTAATAATACCTCCATATTTATTAGAATACAAGCAAGTGTAAAGACAAATAATACTAAACCTACCTACAGCCAAGTAACTCAAACAAACCTCAAACTACTCAAAACTGAAGCCCTAGAAGATGAAATGGTGTGGGCATCAGAAGTTTATCTTAAAACAGCTACACCAATCGATATACTCTTCAATACTGATATTTGGACTATTGAGAAAATTGCTAAAGCACTTGAGACCCCAGAAGGCATTTACGAATTCACTAGCTACAAGCTAATTACTATTCAAACACAATACCAGCTATCTGAAGCAATTGCCCTTAAGTTTGCCCACCAGGATACCAGATTCTTTACTACCTTTACACGCAATTCCAAGATCACTTCTGCACACCAAAAGGAATATAATGAGCTTTTCAATAATGCTCTAGCAGCCTATAAACAGAACTATGAGATCACACTTACTAACGTTACTACTCGTAATACTATTCATACAATGCTCAAAAAGTGGCTTATAGCCCAGTATCTCTCAAACCTTAACTTTTCCAAAACAACATACAGAGGAATATGCAATGCTATCCGGTATGCCAAAGGCTTCTTGAAGATTAAGAATACTAGTGAAGAAACTCCTAAAGAAATCAGAGCTCAAATCAACAAAGTACTCGAAAACAATCTTATTCCACTACCAGATACACCAGAGGAAATATCTAAAGAAGTTCAGGAAATCTTACCATTTGAACATCCTATCAAAATACGATCACATACTAGAGCCATTATAAATGCTTTAAAAAGAATCTACAAATTCTCAGAGCTCCCTGATGCATACTTTGCCAAACTCCCTCCATTACCTCTTCACTTTAATGAACTTCCACTCAGCCTGCGCTAGCTATTTCCTATCTTACATAAGTCTTCTCTCCAATATCTTGCTCTATATAAAAGAAAGCTAGCAGACTTATACTTTAATCTCCCACTACCCAAGAAACCTTTACCTACAACATACCAAGAGCTGAACTCCAAAGTTCAGAAATTCTTTCCCTTCAACCAAGCTACTTCTTAAATACCTTTGGCAGATGTTGTTTCCCAACTTAGAGAATATTACATATTTAAACTACTGCCCAATGATTTTTTTACAGTTAAGCTACTACTCCCTACAGATACTAGCAAAATCAAAACTACCAGAGCCTTTAACTTCTCTATTACAAATGATACAGAGGCTAGAGAGTTTATTAGACAGATCTCTCCCTTTTACAAAGTTCAACTCCCTCTTCCTACTGAGATTATGCAAGCCAATCCTACCAACAAACCCAGTCTACCAGAAGCAGAAAAAATTACTAAACTTTATGATATCCACTTCCCAATTACAACTACTCACTAGCTTACAGCTATAGCTAGAATACTTCGAAAGGACTACTACTTTACCTGGCTCCCCTCAGAATGGATTCAAATTAGCAACAGCTTTCTAACCAATACTAAGAGTACTGACCTAACAAGTCAGCAAACCTTGCCCAATATCTCAGAAGATATTGAAGAGATTATCAGAACCCTATCAAGGCAGGAGATTATTGTATCAATTTCAATTCAAAAACAAGCAGACATCACCCCAACTATGAAAATTCTTAGGCAGTTTTACACAATCAAAAAGATACCAGACTTCTTGCTTGACCTTCTCCCTCTCCCAACCCCAGCTTGGAGCATATTCAGCTATATACCTCCACCATCTAGTTAAACGACTCCAAGTACAATACAATCTTATACAAAGGCTAATGCATCCATTCCAATACCTATGATAAAGAACTCAGCAGCCATGACTTCTCTACCTAGCAATACCCTATCATCACTATTAATTTTAGCAGAAAATAGCACACTCAATAATAACAACAACAACACCTTCCTATTAGATAATATAACCAATTCGTCACCATTGGACAATTTAATACCAATAGATACAAATGAACACTCTAATGAGTAATTCACACAATATACAAGTACAAACCTCCAATAACCAACAATACAACACTGCCTACTCCCACTCAATCTCTCCATTTGTACTCACAATATCCAAGGACTGAACGACAATACCAAAAAAGAAGCCTGGGAAGACTACTATATTACACAAAATCTCAGTATAATCAGCATTACTGAAACTAAGCTAGCTATTAATATAGTAACTGCCAAACCCTGAAAAATCTCTCACTATACATACTACTGGTCATGCACAAACAGCTCCAAAGCTGGAATAGCTATTATGATACAAAATCAACTCACTCTACACATACACAGAATTATTACTATACCTGGCTATGCAATCGCTATCGACCTCCTATTTAAACATGACTTCAAGTTCTGTATTATCTCTACTTACTTGCCTTGTAATGATTCCCAGCTCAGATTACAAACACAAAATACTATTATTCAATGGATCCAACAGGCCTTAGCTAAAAACCTTCTTCCAATTATTCTTGGTGACTTTAATACATCAGCTTGCAATAGTCGGTTAAATACTATTAAACACAAGCTTCTTTAATTTCTCTCTACTAACAGCATGTATAATCTAGCAGCACATACTAGCCGGTCAGCCTCTACATGGCAGAGTTCTAGATACCAAAGTAAAATAGATTATATTTGGGCATATCAACCTATCTTACAATACCTTACAAGCTATATAATAGATAATACTAATACTAGTACAGGTAGCGATCACAAAGTTTTACTATCATACTGGTCATTTCCCTATTCCTATACCGGCCAACAGAGACATAAACACGTACTCGCAAAAGGATATTCAACTATAAAGCTATGAGCAAAGAGCAATGGGAAGAGTATGCTAACCAAGTAAACAGCAACCTCTTAT